CAAAGTCAAATCACCCCCACCACCGGCCTCCCACCTCTCACAGGCAAACCTTCGGCTCCCGCTCAGAGGCTCGCCGCGCCCGTGCGGCGCGCCGAGGCGGCGCCGAGGCCGGCGCCTTGCACCCGGCCCGCGGCCGGCACCGCCTCGCCCCACAACTGACCGCCCTGCGGCCCCTGCGCAGGCGTACCACAGCGTCGCTCAAAAAGCGACGCCGGGTGTGGGCTGCTCCCTTGACCCGTCACCCGCCGCGCCCTCGCCCGGCCGCCTCACCGCTCACGGAGCGTGCTCGCCGCCGCCGCCGCGCGTCCCGCGCCGCCACGCATGCCCCTTCCCCGGCCGCGCCCGCGGTGCCACCGCGCACAGCGCGCGTGCGACGGGCGGGCGGAGCAGCGACCGCTGGCGCGGCCGCTGCTCCGTCTGTGCCAGGGACGCGCGCTCTGCGCCGCTGCACAGAGCGCGCGTCAGGGCAAGGGGCATGCGTGGCGGCGCGGGACGCGCGGCGGCGGCGGCGAGCACGCTCCGTGAGCGGTGAGGCGGCCGGGCGAGGGCGCGGCGGGTGACGGGTCAAGGGAGCAGCCCACACCCGGCGTCGCTTTTTGAGCGACGCTGTGGTACGCCTGCGCAGGGGCCGCAGGGCGGTCAGTTGTGGGGCGAGGCGGTGCCGGCCGCGGGCCGGGTGCAAGGCGCCGGCCTCGGCGCCGCCTCGGCGCGCCGCACGGGCGCGGCGAGCCTCTGAGCGGGAGCCGAAGGTTTGCCTGTGGGAGGTGGGAGGCCGGTGGTGGGGGTGATTTGACTTTGCAGCAGAGGCCGTCCCTACTCCCTTAATGTGGGTAAACGAAAGTAGCGTATACGCTACTATGAAAGAAGAAGCCGAAAAAAGACGCCGGAGTCAGTCCGCCCGAGCCAGCCAGCTGCCGGCTCGCACGGCAGCCTCTTCCTCTCGACCAGCCTCAACTTCCGTACAGTCAGCATTTTGTCGCTGCGTGCTCGTGGCCAGCTGTGGCGGCGGTCGAAGTTCGCCCAGGTTCGGTGACGAGCGCCAGACGATAGTAGTGTCTCTGTTCGCCCTGTGCATGTCAGGCCAGGCTGCAGCAGGGCACTACCATCGTGCTGCCCTGTTGCAGCCTGACTTTGCCCACTGTGCACATGGGTGTGGGTCCCGGACGAGATGCAGATGCATCTCCGAGATGGGAGACTACCTTCACACACGTTTGGTTCTGATAATCTGAACATGTAGCTGCCTCCCAAAGCCAAAGCGCGGCGTCGTCCGTAGCCTGCGTGTTGCTCTGCACCTCACACGCTGACGTGAGATATGCGAGAGAGCTCCAACTCGCAACTGCTTCCGACTTCTTCCTTCTGGTCAAAAGCCGTACGTAGACACAGAATCGCATCGAGATCGAGCGAGAGCCAACAAGAGAGCCGACACGCACAATAGACAGGCAGCGCGACACCCCGGCCGCCCGCCAGCACTCCCGCCGTTCGGCTTCAGGCACGCTAAATTCAGCGCTTGCCTCGCTCGTGTGCGCCCCTCCCTGCGCGGCGCCCCCCTCCTCCGCGCCCGGACATGTTGGTGAGGTACGCCTGTCGCCTCGCCGCCTTGCGCGCCGCGCCCGCCCCAGCCTGGCCGTGCACTCCGCCGCCGGGGCGGCTGCTTCCGGTCGCAACCTTGCCCGCGCCGCGAGGGAAGGGGAGGGCATCCTTGCCAGGTGCATCCTTGCCGGGCGCCTGCTTGCCGGGCGCCTGCTTGCCGGGCGCCTGCTTGCTGGGCTTGCCTTTGTTGGCCCGCTTGCCTTTCCCGCCCACGTCCGCCTCCACGTCCGCCTCCTCCACGTCCTCTCCCTCCCCGCTCTCCTCCTCGCTCTCCTCCTCCTCCTCCCAGAAGCGCCTCCCCGACTTGAACGCTCCGATCTCGCGCTGCAGCTCCTCGTCGCTCTCCTCGTCGCTCCCCTCGCCGCTCCCCTCGCTGCCCTCCACGCTCTCTTCTCCCTCCCCGCCGGCCGCCTCCACCCGCCTCCGCTTCGCAGGCTCCTCAGCCGCCGCCGCCGCCTCCTCCTCGCCCTCCTCCTCGCCCTCCTCCCAGTCCCACTCATCGCCGCCCTCAGCGCCGCCCGCGCCGTCCGCGCCCTCACGATTGCGCTTGGCTTGCGCCGCCTCGCGCTCGGCCAGCATCCGCTTGAAGCGCTTGCCGTTGACGTGGCCCTCGACCGCAGACGGCTGGCGCGAGACCGGCTGGCGCGTCACGGTGCAGTAGAGGAGGTGCTTGCTCTGCTTGTGCGGCACCAGGTAAGGCGCGTGCTGCTCGAAGTCGTACGCGACCAGCGCCGCCTTCTTCCGGTAGGTCTTGCCCTCCCAGTGCGCCCGCAGCACGTCCAGCTGTGGGAGGCACTCGTGCCCCGTGGTGGAGCAGCGCACCTTGCCGCTGTCGAGGACCTCCGCGTCGGAGTGCGCCGCCACAAAGTCTACGACCGCCTTCGGCGGGGGCGCGGACGAGGAGGACATCGCGGTGCTGTGGGTGCAGGCACGAGGAGCGTTTGGCTGCCGCTGAGGCGGCGAGGGAGAGGGAGAGGGAGGGGGCGGCGGCGGCGGCGGCGGCGGCGGAGTCGGCGTTGCAGTCCGAGCGAGAGGCGCGCGCCACCGCCCAGGAGGCGGCCGCCGCCGCAGAGCGGAGAAGTGGTCCGCTCGAGGCGGAGGATTGCTCTCGCGGGTTGAGCCAGCAGGCGGGCAGGTGCCGGTGACGCGTCCGGGACACGGCCCTTCAGGCGCAGCTGCTCGAGGCGCAGCGGCGGCTCGAGAGCGTCGAGGGCGACGCCATCGCCTCGTCGCGGGCCCTCGCCCGCGCCACCGAGGAGCAGCCATAGCCCCGACCCTGACCCTGACCCTGACCCTGACCCTGACCCTGACCCTGACCCTGACCCTGACCCTGACCCTGACCCTGACCCTGACCCTGACCCTGACCCTGACCCTGACCCTGACCCTGGCTCCGCCCCCGCCCTCGCCCTCGCCCTCGCCCTCGCCATCGGTCGGGAGGGGCTCGCCGAGGAGCGCCTCGAAGACGCGCGCCTCGAGCAGGTGCTCCGTCTGTTCACAGCGAGCCGGCGCGTGAAGAGACGCCGTCCACACACCGCCCTCGGCCCCTTCGACCGGGCCGCTGGCGCCGTGCGGAGGAGCGGCAGCGCCAGCCTCGCCTCCCTCCGGTGCTGCCGCAGCAGCAGCAGCAGGTCGGAGGCGACACACTGAAGGTGGCGGCGAGGCGCCTGCAGGGGAGGGATCGTCCAGGACACGTCTAAGAAACGGACCGGGACGGCTCCAGGAACGGTCCAGGAAGGGTCTAGGAACGGACCAGGAGGGCTCCAGGAACGGTCCAGGATGCGGAAGGGTCTAGGAACGGACCACGCTCGAAGCACCACCGCCAGGTGCTTGTCGAGCTCGGCTAGATCTCGCTCGTTCTCGGCTAAATCTCGCTCGTTCTTTTTTTTGGAAAACTGTACCCCATGTCCCCCAATGTACCCCACATTCCGCTGACGGCCTTCTATCCCAAGGAAGCCCTCCACTAAGCTCGTCCGCTCGCACTTGCCGCGCCGCATTGCGTTCAGGGGTGAGAGAGGGGCCCATGGCGCGTTCAGGGGTGCGCCTGAGGCGTGTAGACTGCGGGGCGCCGCGATAGCGCGGCGCCGACGATTGTGTCGCTCACTGTCACACCGTCGACACGGTCACAGTGTGTGTGCAGTGCGTCCACTCCGGCGACCGTGACGCCGTCGGTTCTCGCCTATACCGGCTAGTGTGGAGCTCTCAGTGTGGTTGAGTATTATATTGTGATGCTGCACTAGGCGGCCCGTTTCCGCAATCAGGACGCGAATGGAGGTCCAGTCAGCACACAGCAGCTCGGGCAACTCCCAACTGCACATATGCAGAACAGACATCAACTGTGAACGGTGACTCGAAGATGTGATGACCGCTCTCTGCGTGAATCGTCAGGCAAGCTCGCACTCTCCTCGTCCGCTCGCGCTTGCCGCGCCGCATTGCGCCCGACTATGCAGCCGCGAGCTGCACGCCCAGACCCTCGCGACGCCTATCGCTCACGGAACCCGCCGCCCCCTCACCACCCCCACCACGCGATGCGCCCTCGCTCGCCGCGCGAGCGGCTGACCCCCCTCGGCCTCGCACCGCCTGCCTACTCCCGCTCGCAGGTACAGCCGCTGCCATCGAGGAGGGCGCGAGACGCGTCCGCTGCTGCCCATTCCCCACCCTTGTCCCGCGCGCGACCGCCCTCCCTCTCTTCTGGCAAGAGAGCTCATCTCCCCCGCCTCCTCCGCCGCACCTCCCTCTTCCCCAACACTCGCCGCCCTCGCGCCAAAACCCAAAACACCCCCGCAGGCTTCAAGCATGCTCGCGTTCATCGTGTCGCTCGTGGCGTATACGGATCCGGCGGAAGAGCTGTACGGCATCTGGGAGCGGAACATGGGCAAGAATCGGGAGACCAAGTTGCAAACGCAGTACCATTTCGCCTATGCGCAACATCTGGCGCCCTATCGCACCCGCAATAATGTCACCCTCCTCGAGATCGGTGCAAACACAGGAGACTCGCTGTATGCGTGGTCGGAGTACTTCCGCGAGCCAGGCGCGACCATCTGGGGGATGCGCTACGGCGTCTCCGACTCGAGGATGAAGAAGTGTCGCGCGGGCGCCGCAAACTGCGCCAAGGTGCACATTCACGACGGCGATCAGAGCAGCGCTCGGGATCTTCGGGCCTTGGTCGCTGCCGCGTTTGGCGACGCGTTCAAGGCGCCTGCCACACTCGCGAACCACGAATGGCGGCGTGCTGGGTACGACGTCATCATCGACGATGGCTCTCACGTGCCGGCGCACATCCTCTTCACCTTCACAGAACTCTTCCCTATGCTGCGGCCGGGTGGGGTCTACGTGATCGAGGACAACGCATTTTCATATGCCGATAAGCCAACCACCGCCTACGGCTATCGCGTTGGTCACCGTGGCGGCATCGGCCGGCCAACCACCGACAATGCTGTTGAGCGATTCAAGGCTCTCGCTGACATTGTCAATCGGGAGGAGTGCTTCCAAGATCTGGACATCGTCATCTTTAGCGAGGCAATCGACCGCGCCGTGTTCCAGGTTGCGTTTGTCTCGGGACTCGTGTTCGTGTGGAAGAAGACGGCGGCGCAGCAGGCGGGGCTCGCCGGGATCCCCTCTCTCCGGTGGACGAGTCACGCCAACGGCCCGGCGCTCCAAGAGTACAAGCGCTTCCTCGAGGCTGGGAAGCACGTGGGCGTCGGAGGCGTGCGCGTGTGAGGCACAGGGCGGCGTGGGCGATTGCGATGACGCGTGAGTCCGTAGCTGGTGCGCCGCCGACGCCGCCGCCGGGAATCGGGGGGGTGCTGCCTTGGTGCACGAGGGATGGGGAGCTCCCTGGCGCGCGAGGGGTGGGAGGGGCTCGTGTCTCTCTCACACGGGCGCGCCGGGGTGCGGTGGGAGACTGGGCACCCGATCGGCGGATGGACGACCCGCAACTGGTCTGGCGAGGGGCGCGGTGCTGGGTGCGGCGACGGGAGAGGGCCTCGAGCGCCGCGTGTGCGCGGCGGAGTCGGCATAGACTGACTGACTGAGGCCGACGGGGCTGTTGAAGGGAAGGGTAGGCATGTTGTGCTCGAGATCGTCCAGCCGCACTTGCGCTCTGTGTGGCCACTGGGAGGCGTGAGAGAGGCTCTATATGCATGTATGTATCCGAGTGAAGAACACTGAACAGACAGATGCATCATTATTATTGGATCCAGCCCAGCGGCCTCAGATCGTCGATTAACGCCTGCTCCTCCCTTCCCGCCGGTCCACTAGGCGGCGCTGCCGTGCACTGGCGCGAGCGAGCTGCATTTACATCCCGCACGCGCGATTGGCAGTCGAGTTACAACCCGCAGCTGTGCAGTGCGTGCGCACCACGAACCGTTGTTCGGCGATCTCTCGGCTCCCGCTCATCGACTCGCGCTCGGACGCGAGGTGCGCGCTCGCCTCCCCCCCCCCCCCCGGAGGGGACACGGCCACTTTTAGCGAGATCGGGGAAATCACTCTCATCGCCCACCGCTCTCGCCTCCCTCCCTCTCCCGCTGCCGCCGTATCCTGTCCTAGCCTGCGATACATTGAGACCTCACGCCCCGCGACTGTCTCCCGCGCTCGCAGGCGGGCCTATCCGCCGTGCCACGCCATGCGTGATCATCGCTGGGGGCAGCGGTGCTCGTGCGACTGCGGATTCGGCCTCACCTCACGCCCTCTGGCCTGCAGCTGCACGCTGCCGGGCGCCATTCTCGAGCCCTTTGGCGAATGGGCCCAAATCCGGGCTCTGAGCACGCCTACTGCTGACGATCTATGTAGCTAGTGCGGTGGAGTCTGGCGCAGGTGCGCGAGCCCGTCGCCACAGGGGGGGACGCGCGATTATGTGGGCGCTCCCGAGGGGGGCAGGGCCAGGGGGCGAACCGCGTGTGTTCAAGGGTAACCAGGCGAATTGCGCCCCCAAAATGGTCCTGAGCGGCTCCCACGACCTCCCCAACACCCGAGGTGCACGACACGACCGCTCGTTCGAACATTAGCGCCACAAATATTTTCCATTAATTTCCCCTCTAGCTAGCGGCTACGCTTTCTCATCGCGTATTGTTCCGTACGTCGTACTTCCCGGCCATCATCTCGAGAGCGAATAGCACCGCAGCACCCACCCCTGTAAGTTGCCCGTCCTCGGTAGCGCGCTGCCGCCGTTACCGCAGCTCGTCTAGAAGCCGCGCGGGGCATGGGGCGGTGGCCTAGGGAAGCCCGCCGAAAATCGTCCGCTGCCGCTTCTCGGTCCGCTCGGCGCGGCTGGCCTAGGGACGTACACGCATGTCGCATCGGGCCGGCGGGCGGCGATGCGAACCCCTCTCGCCCTCGCCCTCGCCCTCGCCCCTCCCCTCGCTCTCATGCTCTCGGCTCGGCGGCGCGCCTGCTTGGCGACGGCGGGCAAGTTCTTGTACCGCTTGCGGTCGAAGTTGTAGACGTCGAGCCAGAAGGGCTTCGCGTACGTGATGTAGAGGAGGGGCCGCTCCTCGGTGCCGCTGTTGCCAAGCCCGCGGTGCTTGAGCCGGTAGTCGAAGATGAGCGCGCTGCCCGCCTTGAGGCTCGGCGTCTTGGAGGGCACCTTGGCGTCGAAGTCGAGGTGCGAGCCAGGGACATACTCGGTCGGGCCGTTTGCCTACTCGCGGAGTCTTTGAGGCGGTTCGGAGCAGGCTCGGAGAAGGACGGCGGCGGGCCGGGCCGTAGTAGTGTGCCGCGGTGAGGTTCACGAGCGGCACGAACACGTTGACCGCGTGCACGGGCGCGACGAAGCGCGGGTCGCCCCCCGCGTTCATGTGCGGCCCATCCGAATGCCACCTACCTCCTCATCCTCCCGACTGCGACTGCTGCTACTGCAGCGCACACAGCCCTCCGCGCGCACACTGCCCTCCTCCTCCTCACCTCACCCTCACCTACCTCATCAGTGTGGCCACTCCCACTGCTACACACACGGCCCCCGCTCGCCGAGGCGGGAGGCGATCTCGGGTCATCTCGGGTCATCTCGGGTCATCTCGGGTAATCTCGCACGGCTGTGTGGCGGAGCCCGGGAAGGAGAGCATGCAGCCAAAGTGCGTGAGCGTCGCGTCGGAGCCGAGCGCCTACGGTGGGGGACGCGCCGGGGGGGTGCGGGAGGGAAGTCTGGGGGCGGAGGGGGATGCTGAGTGCGGCGACGGCTGTCGGAGACGGGGGCTCGGGGGAGGAGCGTCTCGGGTGAAGAAGGGCCTCTATCTCTCGGCAGGGCCCGGATTTGTCTCGGTCGGTGAGGCGGATTTGCCGCGAGGAGTGAAGTAAAGAGGAGTGCGCACTCTGCAGAAACGCGACAATCAGCTTGCGCGACCATGGGGT